ACTGTTACACTGCTCTGTAGTATGGCCGTGATCTTGGTGAAAATCACAATATCTGGTATGGTCTCGACTAGCAGCAGCAGTTCGCATTGGGCTAGGACGTCTCAAGTCCATCTTATTTTTGATCTGCATAAAAATTTGTGACCTCAGCAGATTAAAGGGAGTCCAATTAACTAGAGGTTTACATGCAAGAGTAGAAAGCATGCAGGTGATCATCGGGATCCTTCGTCCCATCATAAGTCTCCAGTTGTGGTATTTTGAAGCCAATGGGATAGGGTTCCAGCGTAATGTTAGTATTCAGAGGGTGAGGTATAGAATCAGCAGCATGGTGTGGGGGTGGAGCACCTCGGTGTTCAGCTACTAGCTTTTCCAAGCTATCGAGGCATCGGGTGACATCATCTGGGATGGGTTGCTGAGCAGGTGCTATGTGGGATTGACCTTGGGATTCACTAACAGCGGGGATAGGTTGAACCGGTTGAGGGTTTTGTTGTGGAACTGAGGGTTGTTGAGCAGGGTTTAATAAATTAATGAGGACATCACCAGGATTATTTCTAGCTAGAAGCTGAGCTAGTACTAACTGAAAAACACCAAACTGCTGCTGCATGGCAGCAAGCTGAGTTGTCACCACGTCTTGGTTGGCAGTGGAAGTAGAATTGTGAGCTGAGGCATGAGGTTGGTTTTCATCTCCTCCTTCTGCATGATCAGCAGGAGGGAATATGGTTGGGACCTGAGGTGGAAGCTGAGGTAGGGTTTGAGGTGGGATCGGAGGTGGAAGGTTGTTGTGTGGTTGACCCTGCCCATGAGGCAGAGATGAATTGCCAGCTCGGACTGATCGAGTGTGAACCATGATGAAAGAGCAACTAGAAAGCTTTCAGTTTGATTCCCACAGACGGCGCCAATGTAATTGCACCAAACCCGTAGTCCTTCTTCAGTCCGCGCTTGTACTTCGAAGTGACTTGCAAAGCCCCGAGATGGAACTCGGGGTAGACACTCCGATGCTTAAGTCAACAATAATCGGGGCTACCTTTAAGGCAGAGATAAAAAGAGCTTAGGGTTGGTTTCAATTACATTTTTGACGTGGCCCGGGGGGTATTTATAGGATCCAATGAGGAACCCACGTGGCATGCCAAGCAAGATAATCGGAGCCTGAGGTGTCTATCCAAACGATTATTCCGGGACCGGAAATTTGAGAGGTATTCAGGTGCACGAGCGTCCACCATATTTGCTGTGCCACTCATCATAAGGAATCAGGTGCGGGCATGCTTATTGTTGTTATCATACAGCTACTTGAGCGGGAAGCTTTGGATTCATTCCTCACTTCGGTCATAAAGGGATTACTGTAGCAGTCCGAGTCTTTGCACCTCGGACCTGTCCTTACAGGTACAAAGACAGGTAAAGTCGTTCGTCACGGCATCTTTGATGGCATTGCAACAGTCGGCTCCCGGTGTGGTGTTGAATTTAAGGTAATCGGAACAGGAAATCAGTTTTGAGACGCATTGCGCTACGTTTTGCGCCTCCGTTAGGCTCATTGCGGCGGCCAAAACCAAAATCACAGCAACGATTGTGAGTTTAGCCATGGCGTTTATTTGGTTTTGAACTCTCTTTCTCGATCGGGTTCAACTCCAGCCAGAGCCGGCTTCCCCTTCCTGTGTGAGTCTGCTTGCTGGTTAATATATAGATAAAAAGCAAGCATTTGGACAGGACGCGTCTTTGGCGTAAAAAATACCATATATGACGGCGTGAGATAAGTCACCGCCCGAGTCAACTTAAAATTTACTATACTTTTTTTTATTTATAGATTATATAATAATTTTTTTTTTATTTATAAATTTTTTTCGTTTTACTTCTTATTCAAATTTAAATTTTTTAACTTAAAATTTTAAACTTTTAATTATTAAATTATTTTATTAAAATTAAAATTTATTGTACCGTTGATTTGTCAATATTAAAATATTCAATTATGAAAAAAAAAAAGAAAATAAAGAGATTGTTTTTTCATAAAAATATTTTTTTAATACAAATTGCTTTTTCAATTGTCCAATTTGATTATAAAAATTATTTAAAAAATTTTAATAAAATTATTTATATTTTGATAATTTCAATAATTAAACTGTAAATTGGGCTTGGGCTTGGGCATTGAGTGTTTTTCTGGCCAGCCTAATAAATTGCATTTACAATAATTTGATTATACAAATTGCATTTTCAATTGTCGATATTGAGTGTTTTTCTGGCCAGCCTAATAAATTGGGCTTGGGCATTTTCTTTTGATGAATAATAATAGTGATTAATGATAATGACAAACAAAGCCCAAATATTTCGCCGGAAAATAATTCAACAGATTGAACCCATTGAGACTTTGAGAGCCTTTTTGTGTGGTTTGTGTTGGTTCCTAATTCTTTCCATAAAAACATTTAAAATTAAAAATTTATATAATTACAATGATAATGTTATTTTAACAAATATTCTGATCGATACAATAGCGGATGATCGACTACAGTATAGTATCAACGACATGGAAAAACAAGCAATGAAACAACAAAGTCTCCAAGTACAACTAAATGCCGTGTAAGAATCATCTCTGGCATTATATTATATATCATCTTAATATAGCACTGCAAGGGCCAAAAACAATAGCAAGCTAGTAACTCCAGTCCACACTATCCTGTCAGCAATTCTATCGCTTCCAGCTTGCCCTGTAACATTTAGGATTGTTATAGAAATTCATAAACATGGCAAAACATTAAATGCTAAATTATTATATGCTCATGAATTAAAGGATAACTTGACTTTCCATCCCTAGAACCAAGCCTAAGTATAAATACGCGGCAGCAGACTCACAAAGATTAGCTTGCGCAGGAAGGACAAATGGAAGGGGTGACAACTTCCAGAAATTATGCAGATTATTCTCAACTTAAGAATTGTAGATGCAGAGTTTTCTTCTCTTTCTCCACCACATGAGTAAGTTAACGATTTTTATAACATCTACCTTAAAAGTGTTACTAATACATTAATTAATCATTAAGTCATATAAAAATTTAAAAAAAATTAATTTTTACTAAGTAAATTAGAAAAGCCTAATTAAAGCACTCTTAAAGGCACTTAGCATTAATACCATATGTATTAATTTAAGAAATTTTTTAATATGTGCCCCTAGGGCACTTAATAAGTGTAGATTAAATTCCATTAATGGTACTGTTTGTTATTAAATTTATATAAAATTTCATACAATATTTAAATAAAA